CCGAGAATAACCCGTTTTGGCCATTTAACTATTTCGCATGTTCCATTATTTGGGTGCATGAGTCGGCCCCAGACCCGACAGGGGTTGAGCCAATAGTGTGGGTTGGGGACTTCGCGCCACAACCACATCTTTATATATATATTTATATACACACACACACACACACGTCATTTATTCAATTATTTTTAACCCTCCATGATGCGTGTTTTAATTGCAAAGACAGCTTCGGACGGCTCTGATTTTTCCTCATAATCTTTATAATTTCAAGAGAATTTAATCTTAATCCCTTTTAAATTCCAACACCTAACCTTTTTATCTAATTCCAGTGTGCATTAATATAGTCTATATCTGCTTTCACCAACAACCGCCGACAGCGACACGGATGAGGTGAAATTTCATTTATCCCCATTAATTTTTATATATTTACATATCTAACCTCTTAAATTTGAACATTTTTAGCATTTTGGTGTCATAACATGCATCAAAAAAATATATATAAAGACACACTTTTTGTAAATATATAAAAATTGGGTGGTCATGATTGTCATGATTTTTTTGACAAGTTTTATGCCGGCTGTCGACTACCTAATGCAATCCTCCACTTTTCAGCAAGTTTTATGCCGGCTGTCGACTACCTGACGCAATCCTCCACTTTTTGTATTCGGGCTTGGGACCGGCAACGACAGTGTTATAAAAATTAGGCGGTATGTATGTAAATTCATTTTGTTAGTACAAGAAAATCGGACCATTTCTCTTCATAGATTTTCTAAGATTGCATTTATTGCTCTTATAACCACCCCATCCATGTGCATGTTTCTCTACAAAATAGAATGCATACATATGCTCTCTTATAGATTAATTGACTCTATTATATTCATTTAAGATTAATTAAAAATAATTATATTAAATAATAAAATGATAATACTAATAATAAAAAAATTATATATATATAACCATATTGGAATGTAAAGTATTTAAATATCTATAATGAATACATTATGATAATATTTAATAGAAATGAATAGAATGCCTTGTATAACATTGACTTTCAAATAATTTGGATAAGGCTAGGGATGATGATAATGTTGATGATGACGGAGCAACAAATTAAATAAATAAATAAAAATAATAATAAATTGAGTTCAAAAATTTAATGCATTGTCATACCTATGAAAAAATATTACATCAGGGCTCCACACGTAGAGTTACGTGCGAATTCCAATGAAATTACGCCGTGAGGTGATCGGCCCAGTAACATAAGGGAATATTTCCCTCGTGTTATTCAGGTGTTATTTTGTGTTATTCATGTGTTATTGTATGTTATTCATGTGTTATTGTGTTCTGAGAATATTCTTGGTGCTATAATAACATAATAACACATCAATAATACTTGAATAACACACAATAACATCTGAATAATACACAATAACATCTGAATAACACAAGGTAAAAATTCCTTGTGTTACCGGGTTGATCACCTCCACGGCGTAATTTCATTGGACTCCGCACGTATCTCTACTTGTGGAATCTTGATCTAATATTTTTTTCCATACCTATACGATGCAGTTTTGAAAGGTGCAAAGTGCAAATAAAACTTGGTAAAAGTGTAAGAGCAATAAGCATTAATCCTCCAACGATTTATATATATAT